GGATTTCCGGCGGAGCTCCGGCGGAAGTCAACAAAAGTTGACTTTGTTAATTTCCGCCGGAAATCCGCCGGAAAATTTCCGGCGGAAAATTTCCGCCGGAAATTCCGCCGGAAATACCCAGTTTTCTAGTAGTGTAGTCCAAAACAAAAACGATTGTTCCAAATCTACTGAGAGAATTCATTCTAATTTCTACCAATCTAATGCATGGTCAAATTTCATTTAAATACCTTCAAAGTCAAATTTCTTTGAAGGATTCCAAATCCATCAAATTTCATTCTGTAAACCAAACACCCCTTAAAAATTAAAAAAACGTCTTATAAACCTAATTTTGTTGGAATGAATATCTATCAACATTATTTTAAAGAATCTATTATGCAAGTCTTGAATGTAATTTATGAAACTCACTGAGATTGTAACAAAATGTATTATAACTTCATAAACGAAATCTGAATTTCTTGAGAAAAGTTATTATGCTTTATTGTCTGATATGATACGCACAAAAATGTTTTCTTCAAATAAGAAACAAACCGATATCTTAAATTAAGAGGCAACCGTATTTTCCAATTGTGGACCCAAATATTTTAAACTTGTGAAGGAAAAGAATAACTGCAGTAAATTTTGGAGATATACATGTAAGGAAAGCTGCAACTGCAGTAAATTTTGGAGATATTCACAAGAAGAGAGAATGAATATATGCTCATTCACATGAATTTACGATATTTACCATTTCAGTACATCATTTATCATCACTCTCTCTCTTTTATCCAAGATTACAACAAAACTAGCTTTCTGCTGACACATTTAAACACACGAACTCACCCAATTTAAACACTTGGAAATTAACAGTCATTGCATTTTTAATAATCTAATAATGGAAAATAATAATAATAATAATTATGACAGCAATCCCCAGTAAACATTCTTCTTCTTCTTCTTCATCTTCATATATGTACACCTCCTTCTGTTGATCATCATCGATCTAAGTGAGAAGATCATTCACCCAGTCAAGATCTGGACCAGCCGTCGAGTTCTGATCGTTCACGAACTTGTCTTCATTGAGGTTGTTCATACCAAAATTGCAATCTCTAGGGAAAGCCCGACCCAACCCAGATGAGCATGGTGACGAAGTCGAAGGAGAGAAAGCAAACAATGACTGATCGTCACCACCAATGAAAGAATCCATCCACATCGAATTTCTATTAGGAGCCTCAATTGCATTCATATTCATACTTTTCATGGACTGCATGAGGTCTTTTATTGCCTGAGGGATCAAGATATCATTCTTGGAATCTTTGTAGCTAGAACTGCCATTGCCAAGCTGAGTCATCCCACATGACTCTGTGCGAGCTAACCTGTCAGAAAAACGGGAGATCGGAGAAAACCCAGCCCCAGGTTGGGCCGGAGAGAATGGGGGCGAAGTGGGTGGAGATAATTTATCCATATCGAGAATAGAGGTAGGCGAATTGGTGTGATGTATACCTGGATGGCAGCGACAGTAAGCACAATGGCCGGAATTCACATGCTTATTAGGTGAAACCACCGTCTCCGCCGGTGACAGCGACCGGAGCTGGCCAGGAGTGTGAGCAAAAAAGCAGATCTTTCTTTGGCAATTCTTGCCGTCTTTGCACGCTTCAGTACGATAACGAGATGGATGAAGCCAACACTCAAAAACCCCATGAGCAAAGTCACAGGAATCTCCACGGCTACAACTGCCACGGCGGAAGTCCGCACACACAGTACCAGAATAGTTAAACCGACGAGGGCACCTCCGGCGAGCCTTTTCACCAGGATGAGCGAAAGGACAGTCAGTCCAATCATGGGATCTGCTACGAGTACACTTGCGAATCTTGAATTCATACATCCGAAAGTGGTCAGAAGCATAGGGATCGGAGTCATCATCGAGACCAGAATTGTAAGGAAGGAATTTCTGAAAGAGGGTTTCTTCCCTAGGGGAGTCATTCTGAAGCTGATGGTAGATCATATCCATGGATTGTTCAGATGAAAGAGTTGCAGCAAGTCGACGAGTGAGAAGCTTGCGAGGTGGGATTTCTAGGTCTCGGAAGGGTTTCTTGGTGGCAAGGTACAGTTGGTGGGCTGACTGAAACTTGTGTTCTTCATCTGCACAAACACCATCCATGATATATAAATTTGATTCTGTGCCAATTGGGAGAGATGGATGGATTGTTGAATAAATTGAAGGAATGAAAGTGAAGATAAATAGGAGGGTTTCTTCTAGATCGAGAGTGATGACGATAGAGAAGGGGTGACGAGGATGGTGTGAGGTGTGGGGCAAGGCAATGCGTGGCGTGATAGTATTAGACCTGAACATGCAGACTTATATGTGGCACCTCGACGAAGAGGCTCTCCCATGCAAACTCTCTCTCTTTCTCTTTCTCTCTCTCTCTCTCTCATATTTCATATCTTCAACAACTCAACCTGTAAATCAATACTAAGCTTTGATGATTTTTTTATAGGGTATTAGTTTGAGACTTGTTAGTATTATTGGAACTTGCTTTTTGCTATTATCTTTAGAGACCTAATAAAATTAACTCAGATACATGCAAATTCACCAAAACTATCAAATTTCTATTAGTTTTTTTGGTTTTAGAATAAATCTCTATATTAATTTTTAATGTTTTATCACGGACGGACCAGTGTAGAGTGGCTACGGTGGCACGTGCCACCGTATTATCTTTCCGTCGTAATCTAAAAAAAATAGATTGTGAAATGTGCAACCATATTGTTTTAAAAGGTACCACCTTTTTAGAAGGTGCAACCGTATGGAAAAATCTTGGGTTCGTCCTTACGTTTTATAAAATAAATGTATATTTTTAAAAGGTGTTTGTTTTGTAGTTATTAAATTGATATAGTTAATTAAAAGCATATTTGTCAACAATTTAATAGGTTTAATGGAAGTTGTAATTTATTCGGTTAGTTATACATTATTGTTTGGTAGTGACTTAAAGTGGTTTATTCATTAGGTTTCTAACTGAAGGTTTATGTAGAAAGTTAAGTTTTCTTCCAAACGTGTTCCTCCCAATTAAAAATAATACTCTTTGCATTTATGAAAACCCCTCTTAAACAAAAAACATTTCAATCTATACAAACAAATTAATACACAAAAATAGTTTAATCTGTACCGGACTTAATAACCAACCAAACAACCCCTAAATAATACAATAATATTATATATTTTTAAAATTGTGCCATTATTATAGTAAATATTTATTGTAAAACAAAAAAATGTAAAAATGTCATGACTTCCTTATGTCAAAACAATAAACTTCTATTACTCTTACAAATTTTTAATTTTTCAAGAATATAAATGTTATTCCTTATTAATATATAGAATATTAGAAAATATTTTTTTATTAACCTGAATATTTAACCCGCTATACGAGTCGACTAATCCCAAGACGACCACCTGCTTTGCAGATAGCCCGGAGTCACCGCATTTGAACCTCCGTGGCCACAAGAGGATTTTTATTCCTCCCGACACTTTTGATTTTTGGAGCCAAATTCAAACCAATTAGGCACCACCCTTATGATTAAAATTAGAAAATATTCACGTTACTCTTAAAAACATCTATTTTTCAAGAACATAAACGTTACAAAATTATGTACATACAATTTTTTTTTCAATTTTTATAATAATAATGAAATTTAAAGATTTTTTTGAAATTCATATTAGAGTTTCTACATAAACAGATTAAATTCCGGAATCACATATTTATCTCAATTTTAGAGTAAAAAATCTAAATACAATAAACTTTTTTAATCAAATAAATATATAAAAAAGAGTATTTTATTCTCTTTAAATCAATACCTACCTTCTTAAATAGTTTTTCTCAATTTTCTTTAACTAGGTATGAAAATTTCAAAAATATGAGCATATTCCTTAATTTGTACTATGTTATATAACACTTATTCAACTTATTATATAATATGCTTGAGCATTGAATTGGTAATCAAGAAAATACTCTTTTATCTCTCTCAAAAACATAAACATTCATAAAATAAATAAGGAATAAAATAAAGATGTAGTATGCTATACATAAATACACTCTTAGAGGGTTGGTTGGAGGTACCGAGGGATAAGAAATAAGAATGATAATGAAAAATGTGCATGGTCTAGTTTGATATAATATAACGGGTCGGGTCAATTACTTCAAACCCATTAATTTCCATAATTCACCAATTTGGGGAGAATGGAACACATTTAATATTTTCAAGTTAGGGAAAATATATTAATTACTTTGTATTAAAAAACATTATATAAACCAATTTTTCATTGATTATATTAGTTTAACCAAACAAGATCAATATTCTTGCCTCTCGCTCTCAATCGTATTCTGCCCTCGGCCTCCGCCAGGCTCTCACCCTTTCTCTGCGCATCTGTCCTTCGCTCCCTTAGCCTCTCACCCTCACTCTCGAACAACATCTGCCTCAGGGCCCAGGTGTTTTCTTGTTTGTTTTCTGATTATGTGATTATAGATTACTAATTACTAATTAGTGATTAAGTTATTACTTATTAGAATATTAGGTTATTCACTTGATCACTTACGTGCCTATTTTATTATTTGTCTATTTGATTATTTACGTGTTTGGTTATTTTTTAATATGTTGTTAATTGTTTATTATTATTAATTTTGAGTTTTTTTTTCTAATGTCGTCATTTTTTTTTAATTCTAGATCTGCCAACCTTTCTGTACCTCAATAACCAGAATAATCAGGAGATTGTCTGTCTATTTAAACCCGATTGCTTATAGTACTAATAACAATCTTTTGATTTTGATTTGTCTAGTATAATCTAGTGTTGAAAGACCAGTAATCAGCAAAATAGTTGCATGTGATGTGCCATGTGAAACTATGTTTTGGGTCTGTTTAACCTTAGTTATTGCCTTGGTAGCTTTTGCTGGATTTATGGCGGGTCTAACTCTGGGTTCAATGTCACTAAGCCTTCTTGATCTTGAGTTCCTCATTAAGGCAACCTAAATATCGAAATAATGTTGGATGGTTCTTAGTCTTTAGTTCATTGAAGCGTCTGTCCTGAAAATTTAAAACCTGATATACTCTTCCCATATGTAATGCCATAGCTATGGAGGTACTTTAATTGTAATATGACCATTTAGGGTTTTCATACGTTCAAAATCATGAAGTCTCTTCTTCTTTTTGTCAACAAGGCTTTGTAATTTTTCTTGACTTAATTCTCCTGTCGTGGACTACCGTATTGATATCGGTAACCCTTGTGGTTATTTTAATGTGAGGTAAGTTCACAATTTTCCATCCATGGCTAGATGTTTCAGTAACGTTCCTATGACAATATGTTTCTTCTAGCTTCATATTATACCTCAAGCTGTGTGCTCATGATATAGGCTAGCTATTGGTGCAAAACTCTCTCTATTAGTTCAGCTGCTTCTTATGGTTGTCTTTCTCATTGCTTTTCCCCTCAACAAACTACTTCACTTCTTTTTTGTTTTTTCATATGTTTGAAGAATTGGTATATTAGGGACATATTTTTTATTCCAAACCCCTTAAAAATTTGTGTGTTCTTTGTTTCTTATATTAGGGACATATTTTTGATTATCGCCCAGGGGATCCAAAACTGTAAGAGCAACCCTAAAACTGTGAGTACTATTTTTTTGGTTAAATCACATGGATCGTTTAAATTGCATTTATTGAAAAAATTATAATATATAAATAACTTGTAGAGATAAATCTTGTTGCTACCTTGCTTATGCTATATATACATCGTTATATTAATAAATTCTTTCGTTTTATCGTAGTGTATAAACATTTTAATATTCGATAAGCAAGATATGAGTCGATTATTGGGTGAGAAGTGACTGCAATCATCGTTATATGTTTTATCAAAATACCATACCAATCGTTCATGAGGTTTCTATCATTGGATTTAGAGTTTGATGCATACACAGATGTCGTTGAACATTAATCAATCACCTATTTAACCTTATCTAATTATAATTGATTTAAAAAAGGATAAAGTTGATTAGATGAAGATGTAATTGAGGAAATAAAGTTGATCATGTCTTCATGTTATTCTTGGTGTGATATATTTACTGGTTAATGTTTTGCCCTGTTCATGTATTTTCTAGGCTTTGTGTTTTTTGCAATTCTGTTTCAGATATGATAACCCTACAGTTTTACACAACTTCAGTTACCAACAACTTCTATCTTAATTACTTGTTTGGTTACTTGATTAAATTTAATTTCTAGCTCTAATTAATGCTCATTAAGTTATAGGTCAACGATCATGAAAATTGTTTTATCGAAGGGTTTCTCGTCCCATAATTAGTTGAAATTTAAAATAGATAAATTAAATTAGTTAAGGATATAATAAACAAAAAAAATACTAAAATTGTTCTACCGAACCGAAAGATATGATTCTTCGTGCAACATATTCTAGGTTTCATGCTTGTGGCGTTTATTTTTGATTTCGTAGGGTTTGGAAACTAGTAACCTTAGAGCATATAATATTAGTCGCAATTTGGCTAATTTTCATTGCATATTTGTTAATCCTAAAATTCAATATCTATCTTAGATTGATGGTTTCATGATTCTAACTTCGGTGTTGAACATCGACAACGTTTTTTATGGAACGGTTGTATTGTTGAATTGACATTCACATAGACATTCATGATATTGAACCATCATCCTAATATACCTATTTGACTAAAAATGGATCAATCGATCTAATTAACTAGTAGAGGATCTAATCATCAAAATAAAAGGAATGTTGTTTTCATAGGCCTAAACATGTGTTTTACGGTGCAATTCGTTATAGGGGTTTGTGTATCGTACTTACTTTTGTTTTAATTGCAAAATTTCAATGGGTCTACTCCTTTTTGTTATCTTAGCTATCATTATTCCAAGTTCATATCAAATCATTGATTTGAGAGCGGATATCTTTGACTACTTGAGGATCTAATTGGCAAAATCAAGATGATCAACTTGTTTTCACACATTTACAGTGCTATTCTTGGTACATCATAGTTTAATACGGTATTTTTTGTAGCATTAATTTGCTTATTTTTTTATAGGATTGTAATTTATTTACAGTTGCTTTCCAGAAAGAGACTCTCGGCCATTTACAAAACATGGTGATCAAGGTATAATTCTTCGCTTGATGCATTTGCGCTCATAGATC